GTTACTATACTTCACTCGGATAGAGAAGTTCCTACACAATAATTGGCACCTATTCCATAAATTTTAGCATATCAGTGTATATGATGATCAACAATCTTTGATTACTTAGAAAGACTAAATTCTATTGATCAAGTAATCAGGTCTGTAAAGAGATCAGGAAAGATTTAATATCATTTCAATTAAATGAATAAATAACAATTTACTTCATGTATTATATTTCATGCACTAAAATGGTTTTAACATAGGGTTGATCAAAAAGTAATACCTGTTCAAATTTCATTTTTAAAATATTAATCCAAATTCCTAGAGGTTTTTAGTATAAAGTGTCTAGAAGCTTGAGAGAAAAATTTGTAGAGTTACTTTCTCTTTTCTTACCTCTTTCAAAATGGCTGCCCCTCTGAACACACATTCAAAGCAAAAAATTGTCATAGAATTTTTGTTTTTGGAAGTAAAAAGTGCCTGAGCTTAGTGAATACTAATGGAAAAGCTGCACATGATGTAAACATTGTAAAAGATAAAAGGAAAAATTGACAATTAGCAAATCAGTTATTGTTGTAAATGAGGATAAGCACCAAATAGGTTGATGTTCTCATTGCAGCCAACAAAATAATCACAACTTGCAAAGTTCTAGGTGAGCCATAGTAGGCCTTTAGTTTAGTATAGTCTCTTGGTTACTAAAAAGTTTGCACAAAGGGAGTTCAAGAATGCTGAGAGTGTCCATGAAGGAACAGTGGATGATTGCTGCCCCAAAACTTCTAGAACTGCACAAAATAAAACAACAGCTTCCTAAGCAGAATAGTCACAAGAGATGAGATCAGGGTTCACTACTATGAGTTAGAGAGCAAAAGTGAATGAATGGACTGGTGCCAGTCAAAAAAAAAAAAAAAAAAAAGAAAGAAAGGAAAGTGATGGCCACTGTCTTTTGGAACCAGAAGGGAGTTACACTGCTAGTATTTATACCCAACAATATCACTATTAATTCTGACTGCTACATGAGCATATTGTCAATACTCAGAGCAAGGTGTCTTTGATGAAGGTCAAATTTGATAATGAGCAATGAACAAGGCCTCATAGTATGCAAGTCATTATAACATATAGCTGGACAACTTTGCCTCATCTATTCTAAAATTCTAACCTGACACCCTCAAACATTCATCTGTTTAGACCCCTCAAAGAGGCCATTAAGGGATAGTGGTTCAATGATAATAGGGTGAAAGAGACAACTTGAATAAAGCTGTGAAAACAGCCAAGAAAACAAAGGTGGAATAACACAACTGACAAGAGAGAAGACTTTGTTGAGAATCAGATTTGGAATCTAAAGACCTCTGTGTTTATTTTGGTATGTTTTGTGTGCTTCTACTATTATTAAATCTTGGAATTAAAGAAAAAGCAATACTTTTTAAATCAACTCTCATAATTTGAGTTTAGTAATTTATCAATTAACTTTAATGTTAAAACACAAAAAAAGAATTATGGCATTCTGATATAATTTAAAATTTTTCAAAATTTTATTCATCCTTTTCAAATTCATCATTTCTAATTCTCTTTCAATGTCAATTTCATCAAAGTTGCTAATTTCAATCACCAAGCTTTGTTTCAAGTAATAAAAAGAACTATTTACAATAAATCAGAAACTGAATCAGTACAAATAATTAGAAACAAAAGATGTAAATTTTGTTTGATGATTCAAAACTAATAATATAACCATAAGAGTAATGAAAACCTGACCATAAAAAAATAAAAGGTTGAAAACTGGTAACAATAAATTAGGTATCACTAATCAACTGTGGTGACATTGCTTGAAAAAATATTACTGAGAGTATCATCAATAATATTATATAGGGTTAGTAATACTTATCCTGCAATCAGTTCAGGAAAGAAAAAAAAAATAAACATTCATATGATGATGTGCTGCCAAAATAAAACCAGGTTTTTCAGATAAGACTTGATACAGAGGGAGTGCTCAACACAGTTCCCAAATTCTGATTATGTATGTATGTATGTATGAATGAATGTGGATACTGAGGTCAACACTGAGCAACAACAGTCTGTTTCATGCTTGAACACAATCTTCAGGTCATATATATATATATATATATATATATATATATATATATAATTCTGTTGAATGTATTTAGAGATTCTTAATAAAATCCAAAGCAGAATCTGCAATGTTATTAGTCCTGACTTGACATCTCTGCTTCAGTCATTTTTCTACCATGATAATGTAGCTTCACTGTGCCTTTTCTATAAATATTTTCATGGTAACTGTTCTGATGAACTTTCTTCTTTAGTACTTCGACTTTACAAATTTAAGCACAGTACTAGATTGGTAGTTAAGTCTCATCATCTGTTCTCATTCCACTGCCCATGTTCAGGGACATCTCATCTAGTTCTTAAGCAAGCAAAACTAAAAATTAAGAACTAAATAGGATATCCAGAGACATGGGCAATTGAACAACAGTCTACTCTAGTAGATTAAATAAAGTGTTTATTTCAGAATTCTCCATAGGTTGCCCAGAGCAATATATATATATACCAAATGAAGGCCAGAGAGCACAACAGCTGAAATGTTCTGATAACAGCAACAAAGATGAGGACAATAGTTTAAATGTAAATAGTGTAAATAATGATAGCTCCTCATCCCAGAAATTCAGAAAGAAATTGATAGATTTTTATCAAACAAAAACTCAATCAGATACTTTAAAAATGTCTATATTATTAAAAAAAAAAAAAAGAGCTCAGAACATAAGAAAATACTATAAAAAAAAAAAAAAAGTTCATGGTTAGTTTGTTTCAAAAACTACAAAATCCTTATTGCTTTCACAATCACTTGAAAAGTAATCAGACATTTCATCAATGGATCCAATATTATGGTCTAAGAGAATGCCATCATCAATCCCAACCATTGCATTACTAATACCTTCTTCTTTTATGTGCCATGTCCATTCAGGACATAGATGACCATGGCCCTCCACATCTTCCTGTCGGTTGTAGTTCTTAATAAGTTTTGTCTTTTTGTTATTTCTCTCAAACCCTGTTCTACCATCCATTTGCTCAAGCTTATCAAGCATGTTATGCACTGAGTTCCTCTGTCCCACGAGTATCAGGTTTTCCAAGCCATCCTTCCTCATTATGTGCACCAGAAATTTCTACTGCTTTTTTCTGAGGTTAAGCATAAGTTTCCTTTCTTTTTTTTTCCATTTTCTCCAAAACCTCATTGTTGCTCACATATTCAGTCCATGGTATCCTCAGTACCACATTTCTTGATTACTATATCACTTTCTTTTCCCTTACAAATTCTTTACCTGAGTAAACATCAGTCTTTTTTTTTTTTCATCCAATAGGAGTCCTATCAAAATCTTCCTGCTTCATCCAGTTGTTCCTCCCCCATTAAAATCTTAACGGGGTGTGTTAATAGAAACAGTGAGAGGTTGAAGTTAGTGCATGAAACCACTGAGTATAATAGTGTTTCTAGCTTATAAGTTTTTCCTTTATTTTTCCAATCATGAGCTCTAAAGGAATCCCAGACAATTCATAACTTTAGTGAATAGGATGTAAGTAGATTTTAACATCAAATTTTGAGTAAAACTGTGTAAAAAATAAGGAAACCTATCTGATCAATATTGTGCTAACATTTAGTGAGCATTAAAATAATTCCTTTCAATTATTTAGTCGAACTTGAAAAATGTAAAGCCTATAAGGAAAAAAGTAGGAAAAAGATCATTTCTAAACACTAAGCACTAATACCAACAATCCGTGATTTCAGTTTTTAATCTTTTTATTACTCCATATATTATGTAATAGATATAACAGCTGGCTACTCATAATCGAGGATACCCGTCTACAGCTAGCCCATCCTGAATTCAGAAGCTCACTCAGGCATATTTGTACTTGTTCAACACCCACAGAGCCCACTTGTGTTTTATACTGAGCAGACCTTAGTTACAGTTTCTGGGAGAGAGCATGTTATCTAGTGTGATCAACAATCTGAACAAGACCAGCACACTCAAACCCTTGGTTACGATGATTTGTGACTTCATGCTAGCACAGCTATCGACAGTCCCCCAAGTGTTCCGTCTACTCAATTTCACTCACAAAGCTTGGGTCAACTGGTGGTATGGTTTTCAGGCACTTTCCAAAAGTGCCACATGCTGGAATCACCCCCTCTAGACTGATAACATCAGGAAGTCTACGTCCTGACAACCATGGTGAGATTCAAACCAGACTCTCATGGTCAGAAAGTGAACATTCTAAACACTTGGCCACATGCCCATACAGACATACATGTCATGGAAATAGCCCAAACTGAGTGCCAAAGTAAGAAATATTTTACTTAAATATATTTGCATTAATTTTATTGATTTTATTTTTTTGAGATATTAATGACTTAGCAATAAAAGATTCACCTATCATCTAGTTCATACTACTCCCTGATCTTTTGAACAAGAGTAGAGGTTTATCTTTTTTTTCCTGTTTAGGACTGGGTTTCCAGTTCCTTCTAAAGTCTACTTCAACTATACTTCTAATGTCTCTGCCTAAAACTCTGAACTTTTATTTACTATTGATTTTTTTTTTTCTCAATAAGAGTAGATAGATTTGACTGTCGTCCAGTTCACACACCTCCCAGATCTTTTGAACAGTAGTAGCGGTTTGTCCATTGTTTTCTGTTTAGGACCAGGTTTCCTGGTTTCTGCTAAAGCCTTTTCCCTTTTTTTCAATCCCAATGTCCCTTGTGTCTTTGTGACATTATCTTCTCGCTTGGGGTGGTACCTCTTACTCTGTAACCCTCTATCTCAAGTGGCTGTTGGGCCTTGTATAAAGTGAATATCATTGTATTAAAAAAAATCTTACTACTTAATTCATAGCTGGGGGGAAGAGAGAGGGATCCATACCTTTCCCAAGGGTATTTGAATGTAAGTGAATATAACAACCCCAACAGGAACTGGAACTCAACTCTCCGATTAACAACTCATCTATTACATCACCGCACATCCAAGCTTACAGCACCTGGTATTCTCAAGTGGTCACCTATTTAGGTACTGAGCCAGCTCAACATTGCTTAACTTCAGTGATCATTTTTGAGAACTGGTATTTCAATCTGAAGTGGCTGTAAGCTGCATTAATTTAAAATTCTCATCAATGCTGGAAATTTATCAAAAATTCAAAATTTTTACCGAATTCCAACCAATCTATATTTCATCTGAAATAACAATGAAATGAGCATTGCCTCGCTAAGATGTTTCAGATTTTATTGAAGATACAGCTCAGAGGAAATCAATGTTTGGCTTGATTTTTCAAAGTTAATAATGATAGTAGTTGCTCTCAACAAGAAAGCTACTAATAATACAAATTTATGCAGTAAATATTTCAAGAGAGTAGAGGAAATAAGAACAGGTGATGAGAAGTGAGAAAAAAAAATTGAATGATTTTGATATATGATCCGAAGAGGGATATAGAACAGACTATTTGTAAATTGACCAGACAGATTTATTCTTCCAGAGAATACTAAAAAGTTCTCAGCCTGACCAAGAAAGTACTCCAAATTAAATTCTCATGTTTGGCCATTTGATCAGATTCAGAGAAGTCAGCCCTTTTTGTTTTAATTTGGTTTCATTCCAGATAAAAATGGAAGTATATGTTTCTTCCAAATCATAAACTTGCCAAATAGAAGTTAATCTTGTCATACATCTAACAAAGTCAATAAATGCAAATCTGCACTAAAATTGTGACGTATTATAGCAATATTAAAGCCGAAATAGTGTCTGGCACTCCTTTACAAAGCAGCCAAACCATAACAACTTATTCCTGGCACAGAGTGAACAGGGATGAATCTCTATTGAACAAGTGGAAAAATTAGCAATCATCACTTAATCCTCAACCAATAAACTCTTGCAAATGAACACACAAGCAAGAATCAACTCCTTCATCTCTGACAAAATATAGTTAAATATTTTCTCTCCAGAATCTATCTTACATATTTATAAGTCTACCATACTTAGAATATTGCTGCCACATATGGTCCAGTGCCCCTGCCATTTACCTTGAGCTCCTTGCTAAAATCCATAAAGAATCAGCAATATTATTGGTCCTGATCTGGCAGCTCAGCTTCAGTCACTTTCCCACTATCATAAAGCTACCTCTCTATGCCTTTTCTATAAATACTTTCATGATAATTGCTCAGATGAGCTCTTTGTTATGGTATCTAGACTTTTTAAATTTAAGTACAGTACTAGACTGGCATCAACATGTCAATTTACAGTTGAGCTGGCAAGATGTAACCATAAATTCTATGATACTTTCTTTTCTCACATTTCTCATTTGTGGAACTCTCCTCCAGCTCCATGCTTTCAGGCCAATTTTAATCTGCAAAACTTTAAATGCAATGTCAATTGCTATCTACCATCCTCCCAATTACTCTTTACTTGTCCCACTCATTATTAATGTTTCTGTCCCTATAACCTCTTGTGTCTTTAGTGGCTTTACTGCCTTGCATGGTGTAATATCATTTTAAATATATATATATATATATATATATATATATATATATATATATATATATATATATTTGATATGCCAAAGGTCATGGGATAAGTGATTTGCATTATATAAGACCTCTTATAGGTCAGGGAAATGCAGCAACTTTATGTTGCATAAATTGTACAAGTAGTCAGAAGACCTCTAGAGAGAGGCTGAGTCAAGTTACCTAGATGTCTCTTCATAGCTCCTTGGTATATGTAAATGCAGGATCATGTGTATGAACAGACCTCTCCACTACAGACCATAAATGCTCAATTGGGCTCATGCTGGGCAAACATGATGTTCACACCATTCATCAGACATCTCTAGAATTCACATCAAACCAATTCTCATCAACTTAAAGCCCAAATGAGATCTTGATGGATAATCAATCACTGTTTGGGTATATGGAATTCATGAATGAGTGCAAATAGTCACAAAGTGGTGCAATGTAGTAGTCACCAGTCAATGACATGTTTAGGCAGACCATATAAACTACCATCATGTATTCATTTTTTGTGCTATAGACAATTATACCCAAAAACCTTTGATCATTAAAATCCCTGGTGGGTCACTGTTCTGCCTCTGGTCATTACTAATACGTTTTATCAGGTATTCCTAGTAAGCAGGTGATATCATAGATATCAAGGGATGTCAAATGCCTTCATAATTTCAAAAATGGAATGCTACATCCATATGACACCCTCTATCATGCCCCATTCAAACCCCAATAATTCACGTCACTTTGCCATATGCAGCCTATCCTATGTCCATGTTGACCAATATCAGAGCATTACTTTTTGGCAAAGTGGTACAATGTAACAATCACCAGTAAATGACATGTTAAAGTAGATCAACAAATCCCACAGATGCCATCATTATGGAACCACTACCAGCCTGAATAGTGCCTTGTTGACAAGTGCAGCATCATGAAGTCAGCAGCACACTTGAACCCCACCGTCAGCCCAAAACAACCTGTGGGTCCTGGTACCATACCACACATTACCAGTCATCCAGGGTCCAATTAGCAGCATAATGAACTCAGATGAGTTTCTGTGTATCCCATGGAAGCTAAAGAATACCAAACTGATTTGCTGGATATACGTCTGATACCTCCTCCATTGAAAGTGGATATGATTCAAGCCAATGTTAATTGTCTCTTACCAGTGACACTTATAACCAGAAACCTCTGATCATAATCATTAAAACCCATGGTTGGCCACGGTTCTGTCACTAATCAGTAATACCTCCTCTCGGGTATTTGCACTACACATGTGAAACATACATATCAGGGGATGCCAAATGCCTTCAGAACTTCAAAAATCAAATGTCCCATCCATATGGTGGCCATTATCATACCCCATTCAAACACAAATAATTCACATCACATTTTTATAAACAGCCTAACCCATGCTCACACTCACTTAATGTCAGAGCATGACCTTTGGCATGTCATTGTATAAATTCAGTTTAAAAAATATTCAGCTCTCCTCAATGTTAGAGACAAGATTTATTATACATCAAATAAATTTTTAAAAATTCAATCAAATAAAATCTGAGCAGTAACTATAGTTCAATTAATTCCAATGAAATAAGCATTCTTCTTACATTTAACAAAAATGTATTTGTATCAAGATCCAAAGCAAATCCACAAAGTTAAATAGAAATCTATGTATTAAATGTATTTTTATTATTATTTACATCTTTTACCATTGGATTAAAGTCCTCATCTTTGTTGTTGTACAAGTAGTCAGAAGACCTCTAGAGAGAGGCTGAGTCAAGTTACCTAGATGTCTCTTCATAGCTCCTTGGTATATGTAAATGCAGGATCATGTGTATGAACAGACCTCTCCACTACAGACCATAAATGCTCAATTGGGCTCATGCTGGGCAAACATGATGTTCACACCATCACAATGTTTCAGCTGCTATACCCGCTGGCTTTTTTCAGGTGTCTGTCAATCCAGGTACCCTTCAGGAAATTTCAAACCAAACCCTTTATTTAATCAGTGGTGGTAGATTGTTCTCATTCTGCTATGTCTAGAGATATCTCATCTTGTTCTATTTTTTATGGGAATAAAATAGCTTAGAGGATTAAAGCAATGATTTGTTAATTTAGTGGCAGAGTAATTGTGAGTTCAATCCCCAGCCTGGGTAATACAGACATAATAAAAAAAAAAACACAATCTGCAATAACTGAGCAGTACTAAAAAAAAAAAAAAAAAAAAGATCAAGAAACCCTAAAGATGGACATAGGAACAAGACGAATCTACCCCTGTAGATTGAATAAAGTGTTCAGTTCAAATTTCTTGAGGATTACCTGGATTGACAGATACCTGAAGTAGACTGAAAAGTACAATGGTGATTTTCTAAGTGTAGCTTAGATGTGGCACCAGGCTACAAGTGTGGGGCACCCAGTGAGGATCAAATTCACTATTCATCATAATTGATCTATTGAGACAAGATTGCTAACCATTACACATCAAAACGCCAGAGGCAGAAAAGTACAATGACTAAAATATTGAAATAATAATAATAATAACAAAGATGAAAACATTCATCCCAATGTAAACTCCAGATCCCAGAAATTGAGAAAGAAATTAAGTGTATTCTCAAAATATCATTAGACTTACAATTATTTTAACTTTTACAGAGTAGAATAAAAAAGAATATTATTTCTACAATTTTATATAATCACTACAAATACTTTTTCAAAAGTAATATACATCCTGTAAATCAAGAGAGACATTAAACAGAAAAACTCTAATCTAATTAACCTGAACTCAGAAAAGCATTGATATACTTAATAAATTCCTCATATTTACATATGGTGCACAGTCTACATCAGTATCTATGTAATCGATTATATTCAACAACTTTTATCATCTAAATTCCCAATCAGGATTAAGTGGATACTCAATATATAGTAGTAACTGATATCTCTCTAATAGAGTTAAAAATTGGCAAAAGAAATATTTTAAGAATGACATAACCAAGTTTTCAAAGCAAAAATTTTAAAATTATTATATATGTGAAAAGCAATTCAAAATTATTTTTTGTGCCACTTCCCTTCTAGGGTAGTCATTTGTAGCTCTCCATAACTTAATGACTTTTGTGGCTCTTAACAACAGTTTGTTTTTTGGGGTTTTTTTTCCTGTCATTCCTACTCTCTATTCTGCCATCCATTTACACAAACTTGTTAAGTAGGTTACTCAATGTTTCCCTCTACTTCTTGCCTTCAATATTCCCTGTGACTGTCAAATTCTCCAAACCCTCTTTCCTCATTATATGTCCCCAAAATTTCAACTATCTCTTTCTGTTTCAACATATAAGTGTCTTTCTTGTTTCCATTTTAAATTATTTTTTCAATTTTTTGTTTAATATATAATTACTACTGTAATGTAAGCAGCACTTTTATGGCCATTTTCACTATATTTCTAAGAATGAATACATTCAATTTCTGAGAAATTACTAGCAATCTGTTTCTCAGATATCTCTTAAAACATCAGTGGAATTTGTTCTCAAATTATGCAGCATTACTTAATCATTAAAAAAAAAGACCTTCCAGGCAATTAAGATTGATAAAAAAATTT